GTTGCGAAAACAAGGTCAAACAACTTTCATTTATATGTATTTTTAGCTAAAAACTATCAAGGCTCCTTGCTAAATAAGCCTTAGGAAAAGGCAATTCACCCGTTTTCATTTGAACTGTGAAATCTGATAGCAAGTTACGAAGTTCTAAAGGGTGGAAGAAACTGTATTAGCTTGTATGTATCAGACAGATGCAGTACGTGAAGCTAGTTGATTTTCGGCTTACTAACCTCAAGAGGACAAACTAGTGCGCCAACCCTAATTTAAATTATGCATCATTCAAAAACACTGAACTCCAAAGATTATATAAAATCTTAATCCTGCCACTGGTCTTTGATATGTACCAAAATAAAGTGTTTCACAATTACTGAAAATACCCTTACAAAGCAAGACGTCTGACATGTTTGGATCCAACCAAAATATACTGATTTTACCATTCAGTAATAGTGAATAAAATGAAAATGCCATGCCATATTTTTAATATTTCCAACCCTTGAGATGGGCGTAATATCAAATTATATCTATGGAAAATGGTGAGATTCAGCTAGTGAAAGGTCCAAGCATCATTACTTAGATATTTCTAACACAATACGAGCATATTGGGGACATGAAATATGGATTTAGCTGAATTCTCAAGTTTCCTGTTAATCGCTTCTGGATGATTCTTTCCTATTTACCGAAGTTTAGGCTTGCTCAAAGAATAAATTATTGTCACGACTAGAATTTTTGCGGAGTATCTGGACTATCCTGAAGTCTCTACTGCTGTCGAATCTGCCATTTCTCCCTTGTTCCCATGCGCCCCCCTCATAGCTTTCACTATCATTATGAAACTTGATTTGAAAAAGTTTGCCTCTACTCATTTTTTTTCCATTTCCGCCCCATCTAATTACTTGGGCTGCTATACCCTCGAGACTTGGAGCCCTGGGAACGCCTTTCTTTCCTAATTTTAATTAGATTCATTCACTTTCCTCGCCATTGAGCTTGACTTAAGGTGCAGGTGTGGGCACAACGCGTTGCTTCTGTATGTGCGCTCGGCAACCAGAATTCACGAATTGCTTGTTCTGAATAAATCATGGACCGACTCACTAACCTCCATTCATTATTACTTCTGCAAGCCAGTCTAGGCGAAATCAAAATGATTTGGAGACATGGGATATCGACAGAGAGAATTGGTAAAGCCCGTTTTGATGTATGCTCGCAGGTAAACACCGAAATGAGCATAGCCCTCTGCAGTGTTGGCAAGCCAAATGCCACCCGAACTGGAGAAGCAGCAAACTTAACATACACGATTTTGTTTTAACTATAGGCCAGTAACAAAATTCTATCAAACAT